GTTCTCTGCTTCCTTCTGCCCTGTTGCTCTTAAAGACACACAGCCCTATCCCATGCCCCTTTAAGGGTGTTTACCACTGAACGTCATGGCATTGCTTCCTGTGAGCATCCCTGCTGGGAACAGCATTGGTGGTTCAGACGTCATCCCTCAGAAGTCCCTGCACTTACAAGGGGATGATGAACTGAGGGAAAGGAGAGCTGGAGCTTCTGCCGCTAAGCATCCAGTTGGTATCTCAATAAAAGAGGAAGTATTGGGCCGGGAGGATGGCTCTTGCCTGGTAAATTGCTTACCAGGCAAACATGAGGACCTAAGTTTGTTTCTCAGAACCCATGATTAAAGAGGAAAAAAAAAAAAAGTCGGTTCTGGTAGTCAAGAGACAGGCAGACCCCTGAAGCTCACTGGCTAGCTAGGGTAGATTACTTAGGCCAATGAGAGAGCATGTCTCAAAAAACAAACACAACTAGGGAAGATGGTCCTGATGAATGACACCGAAAAGTTGTCTCCTGGCCTCTGCACACCTACCTGCCCGCACACGGATACACAGAGAACATCATCTTTCTTTACTAGCCTCTCTTTTGTTCAAGTCTTTAAATTCTATTGGCTATCTTTTCACTATGCACTATCTCTGCTAGGTATTAATGCCTAGTGAGCAAGGAGCATCCCATAGCTCCTTGAACTCTGGGATTTTTAATAGATATCCTTGCCTCCCTGCTGGCACACAAACCTCTCCCATTTAGCATTTTGAACCCCAACAGCGCGCCTGGTATGTAGCCTACAAGTGACAAGTGTAGGAGGCATTGTTGGTTCTGAAGTGAAGCCCCAACCGGCTCTTTCTGCTGTTTCTTGGGCCTTGCCTCCCAAATTCAGAGGGAGTGTCCTGCAGGAGGAGGGAGGAGGGCTTTCATAGTGGGGGAGAGGTCTAGGCTTGCTCTGATCTAAGACACAACTCCTGAAAGTTGGCTGTCTTGCGGGCAGAGGACCAGCAAGCATCGTCATACTCAGCAAGATGGTGGAAGTTTCTTTAGCGTCCACAATTCCTGTGAATGCAGACAGCTAATTATATGGTAGAATTCATTTCTTAACAATCTCATTCATTTCTTCTATCTGTTTTCAGTTGCCTTTTCTAGGCCGGCTCCCACTAGGCCGGCTTCCCAGCTTCCTACCAGCTGCGGGCCACATGTAGAGGAGCGTGAATGAGGCTTGATGCTTCTGCGGTCTGTGCTGCCTGTGCTTGCCTGTGCTTAGCCATCGCCAAGCCCTCGAAGGGCCTTTATCAAGGCTGATATTAGGAATCATTTTCTCTGTTTTTGCCTTTCTGCTGTCTGATTCAGGCACCCAAAGTGAACAAACAGGTGCAATTGCTTCTACCAAGAGGCCTTAGTTTTCTTGGGGGGACGGGGCACTTGTAATCATCTCTAGGTGAGTCCTCGGTTTGGCATGACTGATTAAGCAAGCAGCTGCTTATTAAGAAGCAGAGCCAAGAGTAGAACAATTTAATTAGCTTCTGTTTGCTGAGCCTTTAATAGAAGTCACAGCTTGAATATATGGTGTTCTTTGTTTAGTTACAAATGAAACTTTTTTTGGCAATGAAATCTTCTCATCGTCTAACCCAAGGAAACAGAAAACAAGTCTGTTGAAAATATAAACCACTGGGGGTTGGAGAGATAACTCATTAGCTAAAAACGCTTGCTATCCTTGGAGAGAACCTGGGTTCTAATCTCAGCACCCACATGACAACTCACAACCATCCATAGCTCCAGTTCCAGGAGATCCACTGCCTTCTTCTGGCCTCTGCAGGCACCAGGCATGCATTGGGTGTGCATACATGCAGGCAAAACACTAATACACATAACATAGTAAGCCTTTTAAAAATATATAACATATTCACCCACATATATCCAAATATCTAACAAATGATGCACAAAATCTAAGGCTTGGGGGAAATAGTGTATTTTTAAAGATTATATTTATTTTTTGTGTGTGCGTGCTTGCACACACGTGTGCATCAAAGTATGCATGTAGAGGTCAGAGGACAATTTGGGAATCGGTTCTCTCCTTACACCCTGTGGATCCCAGGGTTGGAGTTTGGTTGTCAGGTTTGGTGCAAGTACCTTTACCCTGAGTCACCTTTGAGCCCATATTGCATTTTTTCTCTTTCTTCCTTTTTTCTTTTGAGCTGGGGTCCTTTTATATAGACCAAGCTGGCCTTGAACTCACAGAAATGTCCCAATCCCTGCCTCCCTCGTGCTGAGATTAGAGGCCTGACTACTGGGAGTAAGGGCGTACATTGCCATGCCTGGCCCCATACTGCATTTCTTAATAGTGAATTGTTGAAGTGTTTTATTTAGTGTATCAGTTAAGGAACAGTTCACAGACCTGGTAATGTATGCTAAGTTTTATGATACCTATTAGTAAACATTTAAGAAGTGCTCGTGTATACATTGTATTTTAACAAAAGTCTGCCGGCAGCCCATGCTCCAGGGCCAGCAGCCCAAGCCTTCAGGCAAACCACCCTCACAGCTGAGCTGAGGGCAGTGGTCCTCAACCTCCGTAATGCTGCGACCCTTTAATACAGTCCCTCATGTTGTGGTGACCCCAACCATAAAATTATTCTGTTGCTGCTTCCTAACTGTGATTTTCTGCTGTTGTGAATTGTAATGTAAACATCGGATATACAGGATCTCTGCTGTGCAGTCCCTGACCCGAAGCTGAGAGCCGCCGGCTTAGACTCTCTCAGTACCTTCTGCTCATTGATCCCATTCTCTGTAATTAGCCATCCACCTGGCTGCCCGCGCTGTGTTTGCTTTACCTTTCGAAAGCGCTTTTCCTTATGTCCCACATAATCAAGTGATAACACATTCAGTTGATGTACAAAGTTTACTTTTATGTATTTTTGGTTAATAGTAAGCCTAAGCTAAAAGGCCGCAAACTAATTTTTTTTAATGTCAAGCACACATTGAAATAAAAGAGAGATAAAAAGCAAATGAGCAATAAAGTTAATGGAGTCTTACAGAGAAGAATGGCAATGTCAATAATTTTACCAAGCATATACCCATAGAGAGAGGCAGTGACAGAGGGTGGGGGCCGTAATTCATTCCAGACATATGAATTCTGTCAGAAGGAGCCCCATGGGAGACCGATTCAAATGATGATGTCCTGCTTGGCAGTGGATGAAGCGGGGCTGTTGCTAGCTCAGGCAATGACTTGGTCTTTCTCTGGTGAATTGGCTTTAGTAAGTGTCTTTATTTCTTCAAATTAGGAGCTTGAAAATATATATTGATTCATTTTCCTCTCCTCTGAGGACCAGCCCCATCAAAGACAGAAACGCTCTGCTGCGGATATTCACACAAACCCTAGCACTTTTTTGGCCTGGATGTTCCTAAGATAGACCCCCGCCCCAGCCAGGACAGGGTCTCGGGAATATACATGGTTATATGTTCCTGGCTGTCCTGAAGCTTACTGTATGGACCAGGATGACCTGGGACTCATTGATATCCACCTGCTTCTGCCTCCTGAATGCTGGAATTGAAGACCAGTGCCACTATACCTGGCCTTAAGACTTTTTTTTTTTTTTTTATTTTTTTTAGGGGCCAAAAATAAAAGTTGAGCCCAGCAGCACAGAAAACATACATGAAGTGTGTGTGTATGCACATTGCTATTCTTTTCACTAACTGTCCATACAACCCAAAGCTCCTTTTTTTTTTTTTAAAAAAAAAAAGTCAAACAAAACAGTTTTTGTTAATGAAATTTAAAAAAAAACATGGAAGCTTTTTGGTCTAAGGAAACGTGTTAATATTACCAATGACTTAATATTCACAGTGATGTGATTTTGTTTTGTTTTTTCCTTTATTTATTTGATTTTTAGCTGAGCAGTGGTAGCGCACACCTTTAATCCCAGCACTCTGGGGGCAGAGGCAGGTGGATCTCTGTGGGTTCAAGGCCAGCCTGGTCTACAAGAGCTAGTTCTAGGATGGTTCAATACTACAGAGAAACCCTGTCTTGAAAAACTAAAAAACAAAAAAAAAAAATTAAAAATCTTGTTTTTAATTGTGCATATCATGTGTTTTTATGCATGGTAGTGCAGTACCTGTGGAGGCCAAAAGAGGGCATCATACACTGTGGACCTGAAATTGGAGATACTTGAAGACACCAAAGGGGGTTGCTGAGAGTTAAACCCAGATCCTCTGCAATACTAGTGAGGGCTCATCACTGCTGAACCATCTCTCCGTCTTTATGGCTCTTTTTAATTATTTATTTCTTCGTAATATTTTAATTTTGTCTTCAATATTGTGTCTCATAATGCAATCAGTTTTTAACTTTGTAATTTATTATTTGTTTGTTACTTTTGGGCAATGTTCTGTGATTTGGGACTTAAATATGTCTTGGCAAAATACCCTATCAACTCCTAGTTTTTAGATGAGAAAATTGAGTCAAAGAGAAATCAGTCTATTTGTCTGAATAAAATTAAAACAATGTCATTGAAAGAATAATTTCAATTGTAGTAATTAAATTTTTCTCCTAATGTTAAACTCCTAAGATTAGATAAGTTTGAATTGTGATGTTAAGATGTTTAGATTTTTTTTTTTTTAAATGCTATGGAGACCTTTAAGGTATAGGGTACCTTTCAGGTACTTAAAGTATTTTTGTGCCAGGCATGGAAGCACACATCTTTAATCTCAGCACTGGGGAGTCAGAGGCAGGTGGATGTCTGTGAGTTTGAGGCCAGCCTGATCTGTAAGACAGCCAGGGCTACACAGAGAACCCCTGTCTCAAAAAAAAATTTTTTTTGTCTTAAATAACAAATGTATGACACTTGACACATAGTAAATGCGAAGAAACTGGAGGTTCACAACTTCTTGTTTGTTTTCCTTAGATTGAAATTTTCTTATATTCTTATATTTCTATTAATACTAAAATAAATGTATACTTGTTAAAGTTTTAAAAAAAAACTATTACAGGCTTATTGTGCAGTAACAACTCAGAGCTGTCCTTTCTCTCAGCAGGTTGAAGAGCTATGGATGCCAACACCAAAGTGGTCATCGGCACGCTTTGTGGCAGCTTCCTCCTCTTCCAGGTTCTTTTCCATTTTGTAAGTTACTGGTTTTCAGCCAAAGTTTCTACAGGTTATAATAGTCTTAGCATCGACAAGAAGATCGAATGGAACTCAAGGTAAGACCCTGAAAATATGATTAATTGACTTAAAAATAGTTTTATGAAATAATAATAAAGTCCTTTTTGGTGGATCTTAGGAGCAGAAGGAAAGTCAAGATCCCACACAAGAAGAGTTTAAGAATTCTTACATCAGAAGATGGTGGGACTAGGGGTGGCTCAGCGGTTAAGAGCACTGGCTGCTCTTCCAGAGGACCTGGGTTCAGGTCCTGGCACCCACACCACAGTTCACAACCTTCTGTCACTCTAGCTCCACAGGATCTGATACCTTCTTCTGGCCCTCACCGGCACTAGGCATGCATGCAAGCAAAACATCCATACACATAAACAAAAAATGCTAGGGATGTTTTTTTTTTCTCTACTTTCTATGTATGGGAAAATTTAGTAGACTCCAACAGGTTTTGCACCCCTCTCTGAAAAATTCACAACAAACATGTATCCTTTTGTGGTGGTAACAAAAGAAAACATTTCTGGGATTGTGAATATTAGCCTGTGCGAGTTAGCCACCTGCAGCGTGATTGAATTCTACAGACCAGAGGGCAGAGTGTATAGTCTATATCTTATCATGAATTTCTAATTATGATTTAGATCCTTCTAGATTTATTCTTTCTAAAAACTTGTATTATTTTATACAGTATGGGTGTTTTGCTTGCATCTATGTCTGCACCGTGGGTGCCCGTGAAGGTTAGAAGGGTGTTGGATCCCCTGGGACTGGATGGTTGTGAGCCCCCATGTGGGTGCTGGGAATCAAACTCCCATGCTCTGGGAGAGCAGCCATCCCTTCAGCCTATATATAGTTATTAAAAACAAACAAAGAAACTTTTCTAACATTTGTAGATTGAAAAACTGGTGGGAAAGATGAGTGGGAGAAACAGATTTTCTGGGTAAATTTTGTTTCCCTTTCAATGTGGTTAGAATATGTGGAAGCTTCTGAATCAAGCCAAAGAATAGGGCGGGTACCAAGAGATGGAAGCAGAGATGAAAATAAAATTGGAAACTATTTTGCGTTATTCAGTATCATCACTCTTCTGTGGTGCAGGAAATTATAACACGTGAAACCAAGTTCTGCTTCGAGGAAGGAATCTGGCTTCATGAGATTCATTTAGCTGTTCGAATAGCATTTTTCTCGTCTCTCTCTTTCCTGCTTCCTGCTTCAGCTTGTATACTTGGAACTTAGGGATAAAGAGTACAAAGGAAAGCTGGGCTGGTTTTGAAATACATATTTATGCCTTAAAACTCAGCCTCCAGCCTTGACATATGCTCCAAACAGCAGGCAACTCTTCTTTGAAATCTTTCCCTTTGGCATTTCTTTTTAGCTACTAGAGGATCTACATTTTTGCTTTTCCAGGACCATGGTCTTAAAAAGATAAAAATCTCAAGTGTTTACCAACAGCAGCTTCTGCAAGTATAGACTTTTGGGGTGGTTTTTGTTACTTTGCTTTTCTGAGATAGAGTCTTACGTATCCCAGGCTGGCCTGCAGCTCACTGTGTAGCCCAGGATAGCCTCCTGATTTTCCTGCCTCTACTCCCAATGCCATCACAGCACTCAGCTGTGTAAATGAAGGTTCTGATCCAGACTGACAGGTCGTTCCTAGTGTCTGCTTCTGCATGTCTGTTCGGCATAGTGAGAACTTTTGACTAAATGTCATTTCTGTCCTCTGAGAACTTAACCATACTTCGCCTGCCATTTAACACTTCATGAAGACTAACACTTGAAGCCTGCCTGTAAGAAACAAAATTTAAAACTTAGATTTTATTTTACAAAAGGAAACCTAAAAGTTTTTATGCATTCTGTATCTTGGTATGTTTGTGGGCACAGACGTCATTGCATATGTGTGGACGTCAGGAGAGTCCATCCCTCTACTATGTGGGCCATGGGGACTGAGTTCAGGTTCTCCAGGACTCAGAGTCAGCAAGCAGGTGCTTTTTACCTGCTGAACCATCTTGGGAGGGAGCTGAGAAGGAAACATTTTTGACACGTGGTCACTAATCCCTCTGCAGGAGTTCAGGAGAGGTTATTCTTCCCTCTCACAGGATTTTGAATAGCAGTAAGAAACCACCTTCTGTGTGGTGGCTTAGAAGCAGTGTTCGCGTGCAGGGTGGTGGCGAAGCGAGCGCTCTCTCCTGCAGCTCAACTGCTGTGGGTAGAACGTGGAGGGCACAGGGTTGTGACCTTGTCAGCTGTGCCAGTTTAGGCAAGACTCATCAAGCATGTTTCCACTTCAGAAGCTTAACACAGAGAAACGATTCACTCGGGATTGTAGAACCTGTTCATTTGAAAATAAAGCTGTGGCCCTATGATTTCTAAAGGACTACATCATTATCAATCATGTTATTACCATTATGTTTCTTGAGACACGGTCCTACCATAAAAATCTGGCTGTTATAGATAACGTAGACCAGGCTGGTCTCAAACTCACAGAGATCCATCTGCGTCTGCCTTCTGAATGCTGGGATTAAAGGCGTGTGTCACCACCCCGGCCCTTAATTATTAATGATTAATGATAGAGGTTTATACATGGTAGGCAAGGGCTTTGCTGCTGAGCACTGCCCCTGTCGCCTTTAAATGACAGTGTTTAGCCATCCTCAGATATACTCTCCTCCGTTGATTGCACTCTTTCGTATTTAGCTTTAATGCTCCGAGGTGTGCATTTTTTCAGGATGAAAAATGTCTTAGAGGAACAAGTCATTTGCTGCAAGGAATCTGAGAGCTTTGTGTGTGTGCCTTGTTTCATTTCAGGGTAGTATCTACATGCCACTCTTTGCTGGTTGGGATTTTTGGCTTATACCTCTTCTTCTTTGATGAGCCTACTATCGCTGATCCACTCTGGTAAGCTGTTTCTTTCCCAGTTGTTATTCATTTTGACTTATGCTTTGCTATGAATTATTAATAGAGGCCTCATTTGCATTACTTAAAAACATATCAATTATTTTTGATGTCTGCCTTATTAAAGTGCTTATAGTCAGTCCTACTTCAGCTAGTTATATTAAAATGATTTTAGATGTGAACACAAAGAGGACCACTTTGCTTTCATATTGCAATTGTTACCTAAAACAAAGAGAATATGATGAGTTGAGCAAAACCACATTATTCCAAACACTGTCGTGAGAAAAACAGCGTCATCTTTGAGCTAGGACAGTCAGCTGGAGTGGCCACTAAAGGTTTGCCATTAAACTTGTGTGAGGCCCATTGTTAGCCGCCAAAGAACTGAAATGAGACTTGGAGGTGGCCATGTGAGAGGGATTAAAATCTCACAGGAAGCACTTATTAATGTGATGGATCTCGCATATGTCATAATCAAAGGTAAACATGAAGGCAGCTCTTCTGGACACATTAAGTATGGTTGCAATTGCGCAAGTTTTGCACACTGCTGGAGCTACTTAGGAAGGGTTAGGTCAGCTTAATGTAAGGGAGTAGGTGTGTGGGATGTTCTGATGGGAGGTGACTGTGTTCTGTGGATACAGGACAATTTAACCAGGTGTTTGGACCACCGCTGTGATACAACCCCCTGCCATAAGTGTAAAATTATCCCTTTAAAATTATACCAGTTGATTCATTTTCATTTCCATTAGGAAGATGTTTTTCCCAAAATAACTCAATTTAGCATATTTCATACCTTGACCAGATTTTTTATTCTCAATCTACATAAACTGTACCTTTAATTCGCCCATATTTATTTTTCTCACATGATTGTAAACAGAACAAGTCCTTTGAGAAGTACATTGTATAAAAAAATAAATAGATGTGGCTTCTTGGTCAGGTTTTGCCTTGGTAAACTTTAACCTAACATAAATTTTGCTGTTTTTTTTTTTTTTCCCCCTTTGGGTCTATGCTTTATTCCAGGTCTAGTTTTCTTGGATTGCATTTATTTACAGGTCACAGTGTATGATGAAAATGTGACTTTTCTGCATTTCCATTTTAGTTCAGCTATTACCAGTTTTGTTTTGTGTTAATTTTAAAGTAGCACATACTACAAATCACATGAAAGATGGAGTGGAGTAAATATGCGCCCATCCTAGGCTAGTGGGGTGCTCAGCAGGTTACACCCTGCCTGCCCAAGCCTGGTGACCTGAGGTTAACCCCTGGAACCCACATGAATGGTGGGCTGAAAGAGCAGACTCCTGAAAGTTGTCCTCTATACACACACACACACACACACACACACACACACACACTAGCGTGCACACCTATACTCACATAGACATCATACTCACATATATTACTAATTATAAACTCAATAGAACAATTTTAAATGAATTCATTATATTGATATGCATCGGTGAACCTGGTCACAATACCATGGTCAAATTGTCCTGTTCTGACAATATTATCAGGTAATAGGCAAATCTGTTCCATCCTCAGTAGAGTAATATTGATAGGACCGTATTGCCTCAAAAATCAAAGGTGGGATAGATGACTTCTTTGTTTATTTGAGTCACTGATTCTAAGTAAGGGATTTTTAAAAATCGGCATCTAAAATTCAATTTCAGTCCATATGTGAACAAGTCATATGAAGACGCATTTCTAAGACTGTAGATAGGTTTAGAACAGAGTCCAGAATTGTTAGCGACCCACTCCCCATAGGCCAGTGGGCCCTCAGGCTTCCTCCAGAAGTGCAGTGAAACTGGGTGCTGCCTCTGCCTTTAAAGCACAAACACACTGTTATGCCCTGGAATTTGGAGCTCCTGGAATAGTTCTGAGCACTCTAGAAAATACATAGGCTGCCCTTGGCCATCCTTAGGATGTGTTTTAGGCACTGCAAACCTCAGTGTGGATTGATGTTAGATGGTTTCTTAAAGATTTCAGCCCAATTTAAATGCCGAGAATCAATGATTGGTCATCAGGAAGATTCTAGAGGCAGTTTAACCTTCGAGTAAACTCTATGGGAAGTATGGACAACAGGTCTTCTGATTAAAACAGTTGTTACTGTGTTGGATGTGCTGCTGTGTCCTGTGAACCTAGCAGGGGAAGTGGAAACAGGAATTCTAGTTCAAGGCTGGCTCTAGCAAGTTCAAGGCCAGCCTGGACCTTGTGAAGCCTTGTCTCGATAAATCAGATAATATGTTCATATGAATCAGTTCATATGTTTAAGAAGATAATGTGGGTTTTTGTTTTGTTTTGAATATGTATAGGGGTGATCCAATGCTTGTGAAATTGAATATTGCAACTGCTTCAGGCTACCTCATTTCTGGTATGTGATAGCATTTTTTCATTGCTCATTACTTTTTAAACTACTCATGGAGTGATGCAAAAATCTATTGTTTATGCTTTTGGCTTATTTGAAAATTAGCTTTGAGGATCTGTACAGGGAAAAAAATAAACCCTTCAATGGTAGCAGGCCTGAAACTTACCCTCTGGCTTTCTAGATCAAGAAAGGACTGAGTTACAGAGGTCTTCACACTTAAAAAAGCAGAAGCAAAACAGTGGCCTTTCTCTTTCCTGAAGAGCTATTAGTATAATTACTATAAAGTTAGTGATGCCTGTGCCAGGGCTCTTGAAGAATGTTCCAGTAGACATGATTTTTTGTTTGCACATGTAAGCTGTCTAGACATGATCAGTTAAGGTGTGGATTCTGACTCCACATTCTCCTATGTCTCCTATTCTCCATTTTTTTTCTCACGATGGGTGGGGTTTGGGTTGGCCTTTTCTACAGCGAGGACAAGGGAAGTAGAGGATATGCCATCTTAGCTGCAGTTACAAACATTTTGGTTGTCTTGTGGGCAATCAAACAAAGATATCAGCCACGATGTGGACATTTATATAAGAACCCTATTTTATCATTCTACAACTTAGTAAATAACTGAAAGAAAATAAAAGTCAAAATAGAACATGATGCAACAATGATAAAGACAAGGGATGAATTTCATAGAAAATTTGTTTGCCATGAAGATGTGAATTGTAACAAAATATATTGAAATAAGTAACTCTTTAAGAGGAAAGGTAAGTTTTAGAGTAATGATAGACTGTTGGATTATTTGGTAATTGAATTTAAAAAAGGAACTTGTCAACAAATTGAGAAAAGATTTTCTCCTTTGACAGAAAATGTCTTTGACACGATCACACAATTCATAGTGTGTTACATCCTGGGTCAATGATGCTGTCATTACAGAATAGTAACTCTCAGACAATCTTTTTTGTGTTAGCTTGTTTTCATTTTTGAAATAGGGTCCCCTGTAGCCCAGGCTGGCCTCCAACTTGCTATGTAGCCAAGGGTAACCTTGACTTTAGATTCCTCAACTTAAAATTGTCGGTATTACAAACAGGCACCACTGGCACCACCGTGCAGCTCCTGTGGTGCTGGGGACCAGGCCTGCCGGCTTTATGCATGCCAGGCAGGCGCTGTACTGAGATACCGCCTCAGCAGCTCTGGATCGTGTACAGAATAAAATTATTATTAAGACTCTCCTAAGTAAGATAACAATCTGTAAAACATTGAGCACACAAAGTAAGGCCATCTCAGTCTCTACAGAATATGCTACAAAATTATCATAGCTTGTGACCAAGCAGCCAAAACATACAGGGAAGATGGATATATTGAAAGAAATAATTACTATTATTCTTATTATTTTTCTTAGTTATAGAATTTAGTTTCTCTTTAAAATCCGTAGCTTGAGCCCTCCTAGTAACTTTTGTTTTTGAAAATGAAATCTCTACGTTCCAGAAGCTCTAATGCCACAAGTGTGAACCCATGGTGACTGCCAGTTTCCCAGGCTACATTCGATGTTCAACCATTTGCTAAAGAAAATAATTGTGTTAATATTCTGAGCAGTTTCTATTTTGTTAAACTGAACTGAGTTTCAGAATATGTTGACCGAGTCTCTTAATGAGAAAGTGGTGCCTTCTTTTTATTTGTAGGCTTTTTGAACAGTTCTTAGTGGTTTTACTAGGTTTTTTTTCTTTTTCTGCTACGGGCATGGTAAGGCAGTGTATGTTCACAATCCCAGCGCTGAAACAGGAGGATCAGGAGTTCCAGGTGAAGCTCAGCTACATAACAAATTAGAAGCTAGTTAAGCTACATGAACTCTCTCAAATGAACAAACAAACAAAAACAAATATTAGTATTGTCAGAATGGGCAGCTAAGAGTTACCAGACAATGAGGTTAATACGCTCATAAAACCAAGCAGCTTTTGTCTAATGTGAAATCTCATTTTTCTCTCATGCAGATTTATTGATTATCCTTTTGAATTGGAAAGTGATCGGCGACAAGTTTTTTGTAATTCACCATTGTACAGCGCTGGCTGCATACTACTTTGTACTGGTGAGTACCAGCATTCTCCATAGCCTAGCCAGTAGGCAAGGCTGGATGGAGAGAGACTTTCAGGCTGAACGCTAAGCCTCTAAGTCTTTCTGTTCATTTGTTTTTGAGACAGGTTCTCTCTGTGTAACTCTGGGTGTCCTGGAACTCTCTATGTAGACCAGGCAGATCTTAGACTCAGAGATTAGCCTGAATGCAGGGGTTAAAGGTGTGTGCCACGATGCCTCCCGTGCCCCCTCAACCTTCCTGCCTTCACCTTTGAACCGGAGGCATGACAAGATGGGCCACCGCTCCTGACTTAGTGTCTGTTTGCGGTTCTAAACCAAGTCAGGCAAACAACACTACTTACTTGAGTTTCCTTAGGACCTTGCAGATGGAGCTCCTTGCCTTTCTAGGTACATTTACGGTTTAACAGCCTTGGGTATGGATAGATTTCTGTGCGCTGTGGGAAGAATATAAACTGATGAAGCTCAGGTCCCTTACATGCATCCGTAAGCATAGATCTTATGAATTGCTGCTCTGCCTTGACCTCTGCTTGATCATCAGCTTGGTAAATCACTGCTGTGCACAGATTGGCAAGTTGAATGCTTAATTACATGAGATGAACACTAGTTTCCCTTTGGACTTCAATGCCTGCTTTTAAAAAATCAACTTCATGCTGTTGTTTTAAAGGAGAAATGAATGGTTGTCTTATTTAGCGAGTTGATAAGTAAGGCCCATTGCAATCTCGTTTTAATATCTTCCTTTGTTATGTTGATTAATATGAAATGAATATATCTAAAGTGGGTCTGTTCATAGCAAAGCAAAATAAGAGAAAAAGAAATGAAAAGATTTTGTTTTGATTTTTTTTGTTTTGTTTGTTTCTCTATTTTGAGTTTTTGGCATCTCTATGTCCTGGCCGCCCTGGACCTTGCTATGTAGTATAGGTTGGTCTTGAACTCTAAGAGATCTGCCTGCCTCTGCTTTCCCAAACTTGGATTAAAGACCCTGTTATTGAACAATCTGCAACCAGAGTTTTAGGGCAGGAATATCGGCTCCCACAGCCCCATCAGGTCATCTAATAACTCCAGGGTAGAAGATCAGTGATGGTGGAAAACAGAAAGGAGATGCCATCAGTCCAGAGAGGAATGGATGCCCCGAGTTCATCTTCAAACTGCTGACACAAGCGTCAGTTTTTAATAAAGGAAGACAGCGCAGGACAGTGGGTATGGCTAGACAGTCCTGGCCAAGGTATGGCCCTTTAGATCACTGTTTAAGATCGGGTCTTACAGGCTGGTCCTGCAGTTGGATTTTTCTTTGGGCCTCCAGCTCACAAACAATGAGAGACTTATCAATTCTGAAAGCTTAGCCTTAGCTTAGGCTTGTTTCACTAGCTCTTATAACTTAAATTAATCTGCTTTTATTAATCTACATTTTACCATGTGACTTCCCCGTGTGTTTTATTCTGTATGTTCGACATCTCGCATCTCCGTGGTGTCCCCCATATGCCTGAATTAATCTCCTTTTCCCTTCCCTGGAAGTCCTGCCTATACTTCCTGCCTAGCTATTGGCCATTCAGCTTTTCATTACACCAGCCATAGCAATACATCTTCACAGTGTACAAATAGCCCTCACGGTTCACTGAGGCGCTATCACCCTCACTGCTGAGGGGACTAATCTGGTTCTTTGAAGATGATTTCTCCTGCTCAGGATGGTCTCACCACCATGACACCTGCCCTTGGTGGGTGGGTGGGGGTCTGACTTAGACTTAGATGGAGAGATGTAGGTTTCTTTGGGATCCTGATGCTTTGTGAAATGCCCGAGGAGACAGATGAAAAGCAAAGGCAGAGGTGCCAGGTCTCCGTTGTGTCTTTCATTATCTCGTGGGCCTGAGGGAGGAGTCAGTGCTTTTTAGAAAAAGCAGTTTCTAAGCGTCTGCTATTAATAATCTTATACTCCTTTAAATATATATGAAAGTGTTCGCCCTCATGCAGTAAACTTGCAGCCCATTTTGCAACCTTCTAAGAAGGCTAGCAAAACAATAATTATTTTTCTGGAGTAAAATGTCAAAAAATCCTTATTATTTGTAAGAATCTTTATTTAGAAACAATTTGACTTGACATGTCTGCAGCTGTCTAAAGATCTTTTTTTCTTAAATGGTCTTACTGGAACTAAATCAAAACGTAGGAGTAGAAGCAGGTTTCCTTCAGGTTTTAAATATATCTTCTAGTGAAAATAGTTTTAAATGGCAAGATGTGGACCCTAGCTTCTGCATGCATGGACATGGACACCTGCTCATACACATGCATGGACATGCAAGCATATACACACCATAAACATCTCCATAGCAGAACCATGAAATAAATACCGCTCGCTAGTCTTTTATGGCTAATGGAGTTAGGAAGCAAAATGTTTATTTTAAAACATTTGGAGACAGGGTTTCACTGTGTAACCTTGACTGTCCTGGAAATGTGCTGTGTAGACCAGGCTGGTCTCACAGAGATCCGCCTGCCTCTGCCTCCTAAGTGCTGGGATTAAAGGCGTGCGCCACCACACCCAGTTAAAAATATTTTAATAGTGTTCTTAACAATATTCAACACATACACATACTGTATCCCCTCCCCCATTGTTTCCCATTAAAAAAATTTAGGGACTGAAGAGATGGCTGAGTGGTTAAGTAACTTGCTTTGTGAGTGGAGGACTGGGTTTGGTTCTCTAGAACCCTCATGGGGCATACAGCAGCCCTCCTGGTAATTCCAGCTTTAGGGTAAGACAGGGGGTCTCCAGAGAAAAACTAGATATACCAGCAGCAGGGGTTTCTCAGTACAATGGTGACAGAAGAGCCATGGTGGATGATTTCCCACAATCCCATCTGTGCCGTGTTCCTGCACACATGCATACTCTCATACGACACACACACATGAAAATGGCAAGAAAAGAAAAAGTTTAGGCAACTTCCATGATATCTACCTTTGCCAATTTTAGGACTTTGTTTCAGCATTTACTGTTTGGCATAGAATGTTTGATTGTTTGATGTGAGTGTTCTCATAACTTGCAGGCATAGCTGAGTTTCTACTTGGCATTTCCCCCGTTTTAGCATTGGTTCTGGACTCTGAAGCACAGGGATAAATAAGCAAAGGACAAGGGATGCAGGGCCTTTCCTACTGTTTCACAGTCCTCTGAGAGCAAGGCATGGTTTACACAAATGTATAGTGGAAATAGTCTCAGCAAATCTTTCACCTTATATCTTTATGTCTGCTAGGCTTTTTAAATCCATTTTCCTGTCAATGCAGAAATAAATAAGGAGAGAGAACCGCTGCTGGGTGGTGCTGCCACACGGTCACATACCAGTTCATGTGGAAACTGTAACTAGATAAAGGCTCGTTCCCTTTGTTTCTGGAGTGCCAAGCTTTGGGTTTTGAACCCGTGTAGCTCTTACTGTTACAGCCAGGTGTCCGTTACCTGATACCTACTGCTGCAGTGTGGTGCTTCAGGTGCCAAGACCCCAGCACTTAGCGTTCAGCTCTGGCCCTCTCCTCAGCACCTGGAGATGGTAGCTCTCCCAGCAGCCCCTACCTGCAGTGTCTTCCTCTGCCCACCCTCCATGTTCTCCCCTCTCCCATCTCTCAGCTCTCAGCAGTTCCACGGTTCTTGATGATGTCACATCTCCACAATCTCTGCTCTCGGACCCACCTGTCTGCCTGCTTGCCTGTTGCCTTCCTGCTCTTCCTTTAAAAAAAAAAAAAAAGTCTGGTTCTCTATGTATCCCTGGCTGGTTTTCCTAGACCTCACTATGTATACAAGGCTGGTCTTACACTTAGATCTGTCTCAAGCTGTTCTTAAACTTTTCTGTCCTATAGAAGCTGCTTGCTGTGCCTAGAGCTGTCAGCCCTGGCAGTCACCCACTCTCTCTGCAACCAGCTTAGCCTACCCTACCTCACACAAGTAGACAATTATACCGTTTGGATGATGTCTCGTGGGCCTCTCTGTTGCTTCTTCATAGGGCTGTGAACAAGGGGAAGAACTGGCCTGCCATCCAATGATGAGAATGCTACCTGGGTAGCCGGGGTAGATGTACTGTAGGTTCGTTCCATGGGTATGGGAGGAACCCCTCCCTACCAGGTTGACATTGGATCCAGTAAGACTAGACTATCTGTGCTTAAGATCATCTCACATGCTGCAGGCATGATCATTTAAGGATCATCTCAAGCTGACTTTGGCAAAGAAAGACAGGGCAGGTCAGGTGACTGCCTAGCTCCAGTTTCTACTAGTCTGGAGTCTCATGAAGGCGTTAGTGGCTGGGTGCGAGTCTCCTGCAGGCATCTGTGAGAGCTGTTGAACCATTGATTGTCCTGAAAAGGTGCTCACTTGATTGGCAGCTCCCATTGACTCTTCAGAAATGGCAGGTGAAAGTTTTCCCTGTCACCTTCTCATACTCTTCAGCCGTGTCCTTCACAGTCTTGACTAACTCTGGAACTGAACCAATCCAGGCTTCCCCTCTTCCCGTCCTGATGAAGAAGTTGAGTTTCCACTCTAGGCTGTTGTTGCTGTGACTGGACATGAGGGATGGACCTGACAGCTGTCCGTCAAGCTGCTGAACTCCCTACCACGATAGCCCCACTTATTTCAAAGGAAAGATTGTGCACATCAGCAAACTTAAAAAAAGTGTAGTTGGGCGGTGGTGGCGCATGCCTTTAATCCTGGCACTTGGGAGGCAGAGGCAGGCGGATCTCTGTGAGTTCTGAGGCCAGCCTGGTCTACAAGAGCTAGTTCCAGGACAGGCTCCAAAGCTACAGGGAAACCCTGTCTCAAAAACCAAAAGAAAAGAAAAAAAAAGGTTAACTTTTAGCCACTACATAACCTTACCCAGGGCCTTCTGAGATGTCTCAGAGCTTGGTGTATATGATGATTTTTATTAAAAAAAAAAAAAAGCTGCTAACCAAGAAGATAAAAATGCCTATCCTGGTTAGTATTTAATTGTTAAGTAGATCTTTCTAAAAGCAAGCTTATCATATGATTCTACT